ATAAGTAGAACTAATAATAAGTATAGTTTGTAAGTTTGTACTGTACATTTCTATTAATCCATTGACTGACTGCTGGCATAAACTGTGCCCCTCTTATTGTGTTTTCCCCATAAAGTTACAGAGTCTCTCAGGTCATCAGCCACCCTTGTTTGGTTGTTTGTGTTTGTGTGCATGTCTTTGTAGACGTGTTTATCTCTGCCTACGCATGCATGTTCAACTCCTTTCATTTTATGTGCGAAAGTTTACATGAAAACATTTCTGCACTGTGTGTGACAGTTGACAGTGTCCTCGAGACAGTGAGACAGCGAGAGTTTGTACGAGCGTTTTGCTAAAATGGACGCCACACGCTTCACTGAGCACTGCATGGAGATACAGAGTGGAATTCAGAGCTGAGATGCAAAAGGGAGCCCCTTCCTCGTGCATGAGATAGGATCAGTGTTTACATGCACAAATGGCAGAAAGCCTCTATAATGGCAAACATTTCCAGCATTTATACATTGTTGACTAAAACATTTTGACATGTTAAAATTGAATAGGCAAGCTAATGTTTGATGAAAATGGAAACCTTAAACGCGGCCTAATCTTATTTGCTGACAAACTATGGCCAAAGGTTTCCACTTTACGTCATAATAGAAATATGGAGACAATTATGTGATCAATTGGCTGTGGATGTAGCTCGTAATGACAACAAGCAGAGATGTCAATGGTTTTATTTACTTTGAGGGCCTGTTGAAATGAGCTATTGGGTATTTGTTGTTCAGAAACAGAAGCCAAATCAAGCACATGTTTATCCATAGTAACACTATATTATATCTATGAGACACTCAGGGAAGAGTTGTTTTATCAGGCTGTTTAAAAAGCTACTTTATCTGTAAAACAACAACAATAGTTTGCCGTTGGTGTTAGTCTATCCCTCATTTTCATTTGCTCATCAATATTTGTTCTTCTGCGGTACAAAAAAAATCTCAGGTGATTTATAAAAGGTACTTTTCCTGATACATGCGTGAATTGCGCAGAGAACAAGTTGGAGGCATCTTGCTTGTAAAAGCAGCTATACAAAGTAGCTTAACAAAAAAGCTTGAGGGACAGCTCTCAGGTCAGTTTGGGGGCTTTAAGGTAAATGAAGCGCTGTGGTCATATGTCATCTGTGAGACATAATTAGTGGGCAGTCTCGTTTTGTTTTGAGCTCCAGTTCACAACCAGTTTATTAGATGATCTGTTGGCTTTTAGTTATGTCAATCCCGCTTAATTACAGCTTTGGTGGGAGCTCAGAACCTTCCCTGTGCTTACACTCGTACACGTGCAACTAAGCAACTGTACTTGGAAATTGCTTCAACTTCCACTCGAATATCATCTAACCCTAAACCAAACCGTACCTGCTTTGCTTCATTTGGAGCAAGAGTACTGGTCCCAGAGAGGTTGGTGGTCATACCAGAAAAGCAACCACAGACACTTGAATTCCTCTCACCCCCATGTGTCTCTCTGTCCGTCTGTCATTTCCCTTTGGTCATCCTTTAAATTGTGCTTGTCATCCTGTGGCGTGCATCTTCTTCTCTTCAGTCCATGCTGTAGCAATCTACTCGGCAGATGTGATTGGCTGCTGCTGTCAGAAGCATGGCGTCAGTCAGTCCTGGGATCTCAAAGATGCAACTCGGTGTGTATTCGTGTGTGTGCGCGCACGTGTTGTCTGTTTTTGTTTGCTTTGTACACTCCTCAGCCATGACTGCCCTTTTCCCGACAGCCAGTACGAGTGCCGCCCTGCCACAGCCCAGCCAGGCTTTTCATTGGCTCAGGGAAAGTGTGTATGCATATATCCGTGTGGCTGCTTTTGCTCATGTGTCTCCCCAAGTCGCATACTAAGCTCCAAACATCAGCTCAGGGATCCCAGCCAATTAAAAGCTAATGCAGGCCTGGATTCCTTTCTCCTACCAACATCTGGGTATTAAACTAAACGCCTGCGATATATTAGTTATGAAGTCAACAGCTATGAGGAGGACCACACAGGAGGAGTGCACATTTTCGCCTACAGTCTTCTGTTGCTCGTTCACAGTGTGAGCTGATGAAATTTGTTTAACTAAATGGCAAGCAGAATGAAAAAGGAGATAATCATTTTCATCCATACTCTTGCATCAACAAATGTGCCAGGAGATTGCAGCAGTCATCCCTTCTTGAATGGTTTATCTTTCTCGAAAGTTTAGAGTGGGGAGAGATTTTGTTTAATGTTGACAATTTTCTTAATTTGTCTAACAAAAACCAAAGACAGAACAATGAATATGGGAAGGTTTTGTTTTTTTTTTCTCCATGAGGAGTCATGAACACGAAGCACATTTACATGACAGTAACGGAAAATGATCGTGGGAGTCCGGCCATAATCAGATCTAAACAATGGATGTAAACATGCTACTTTGAACAAGATTGCACAAACATCCACCTATCAATCAACTTACCCTGATAATACAGCCATGTGTACGCTCAGCTGTACTCAAATGAGTTTGGGAACTATATGCATGCTCAAAATGTGATTACCTTTGTAGGTATTGATACAGTCAAATTAGAAATAAAGCTGCACCATTTCATTTGGTCTCAAACTATTTCTCACAGTTAATTGTTGTTGTTGTCTACGTTGAGTTCTGCTTACGTGCGTTTATAGTGGGGCAGGAATAGAAGTCCAATCGGCAAAGCTGTGAGTGTAGCTGGACTTGGCTGTGCATGTAAATACGGACAGGAGGAGTCAATGGGATCAGATGCTTGGAAAATGTACGTGAAGATTTAACACCGCATCGCGCACAAATGCATGCAGAGATGCACTGGTGGGCACGTTTAGCCGTACCACCGTGATCTGATGAAGACATGTCTTCACATGCATGTTCAGCTGCTGGGGCTAATTCAAGGACAGGTAACACGCCGCATTAAAAAAAGAGGTTCCCATTTGATATGATCGGATTTTCATGACATTGCGTGAAAAGAGATCATGTTGTACTACAGAGTAGCAATATGGGAAAATGTCACAAATTCTTTAATCAAGCTCCAAATAACTGTTGGAGGTTGTGTGAGGCAGAAGTGAACTCAGTGGATAATCTCTTATCAAATGGAAGTGTTGGCTGTGCAGTTTATTCGTGGGCAATGTTGGCCCTGTGTTATGATAAAGAAATGAGAAAAGATGGGAAAATGTAATAATAATAATAATATATATATGCTTTTATTCCCAAAAACTTTAGTTTAGACTGATACTCTCCTACGGCCACATGTAATCTATGGATTTTTACTGACACAAGCACCAGAGTCCTGAAATGTTCTGTGGCATCTGGTAATGTCAGCAACGTTTACTGAAAACCTTTGTCTGTAATTTTCCAACCAAATCCCCAGAGAAGCGTCCGTTGCATATGCAGGTGAGGCTGCGTGTGAATTTGTCAGCAAATATTCTAGACTGGAGCATTTGCTTCCACTTCAGAGTGTGAGTGTGTTCTGGTGAGATTTAGTTCTTTCTGTTGATTTTCCTCTCGGTTTCCGTTCCCTCCCCATCATTGTAGATACATGCACATACATGCAGTCCTCATGTCAACGCAACAAAGAGCCCCGTCTGCCATTCCCAACATAATTTACAGAAACGATTTCCACGCCATCCTTTCTGCACGTCATGCTGCTTCCTTTCTTTCTTTGGATTTCACAGGGCACATATTTACCTGCTAGTCATTGATTGAATTCTTTCTGGCTTAAAAAGTCGATCCCGCCTTTGGGCCGAGAGATTACTGCACTAGTCCTCTCATATTGTCTCCTACCCTGCATGAGAAAAAGACATTTAAACTAAAAGCCGAATGCAGAAAAATGAAAGCTCAACAAATTCCACCGGACTCCCTCTTGATTAATCCTGTCCGTTCAGTTTTATGAGTACACCGGCCGTGTCATATATCTTCTTGTTTCCTCTCTGTGAGAGGCCTCTCAGAGCTGTGGTTACTGTGTTCGTCTGGTGGCCTGCAGTCTCCGTCTGCTGCTGTCATGTTCTGAAGGCACTGAGCTGTGGTTTCTCCCACACACCGAATACAAACACACAGGCACACATAAACACACAAATGTACTCTTATGCAGTGTCTGTTTCTCTGTCTCTTTTTGCCTGTCAGCCTCACACATGCACTGGGCATCCACTCCTCTACACACACACACACACACACTCCACCTCCATCTCCTACAGCCCCTGTGTCTCTTTTTGCTCAGTTTTCCACCTCCGCTTAATCCTCCCTCACTTCCAGCTGTGTTATACAGTAAAGGAATATAAGTAGCAGCAGGCTGCTATAAATATGTCTGCCCACCCAAGACTGTTAGGATTATTATTTTTCTTATAATCACTGCAGTCTTTTTTAGAAACCAAAGACATTATTATCTGGTTTTTGCTCCCTGGCATGGATCTCTGTGTCAGAGGTGAGATGCCAGCCTTGTTTTACCTCATCAGATAATTAAGAAGAGAGCAAAACCTATTGCAACTTCATCACTCATAGTAAACCATCAGCATCAATGGGTAGCCTTACAAAAAAGAACCAGAAGATAAATGAGTTAGAACTGAAAAAAAGACGGGTAAAAAACATCAGCTGATTTTCAGGAGCCCCATTGAAGGTGAGGAGTAGTGTTGGATTTGCAGTGACAAAGCTCTGTTGTTTTTTTTTCCGTGGAAATGGGGGTTGGGCTCCTTGTTTGTAGATGAAGCAGTTCAGTTCTGCCTCCACCTACAGCTGGAAGCCAGCTGCGTGAATCAACCTTTCCTCGTCTGCTTTATTCATCCATCCTTCTCTCCCTCCTGTTCCTCCCCCTTGTTTCCTCTGCCTCTCCTCCTTAAAAGGAGTTCAAAGAAATACTTGTGGTGGCGGCTTTACCTATTTGAAACACAGGCAGGCAGAGATTTTGCAAAAGCTGTAAAAGAAGACCAGGGAAAGAAAAGACAGGAGTGTGATACCTGATAGACAGTGGACTGAGAAAGGTGTGTGTGTGTGTGTGTGTGTGTTTGGGAGAAGGTGGAGAGGCTGGAGGTAAAGAGTGAGGCGGGAGGAGAGGAGCGGGTTACAGGAAACCACAGGTATGTGGAGGACGGTGGGTGGGTGGCCCTGAGAGGGGACTGAAAAAAAAAAAAGTGGGATTATGGGAGTGGAGGAACATTGAGTTATGAGGGAAACTGAGGATGAGGGAAAACGTGCACACATGTTTCAGCAGTAGCACATCTGTCGTCCTGATAGAGCTGTTGGTTGAGCTGACAAAGAATCCTGTGAGAAAGTGAAGCCGCTCAGTGGCTGGCTGTAAAAAAAAAACGCTGCTTGTAGAGGCAAATGAAAACATGGAGAGGTGAACTGCTCTTAATCCTAAAACAAACGCAGATCAAGTCCGCCGTGATAACAGTAATCATGGTTGTGCAGCTCACAAGAGTAAATACTAGTTACTGCTCTGAAATGTTTGTGTGTTTGGCTGGATCTTACCTTACTGACTATGCCCAAGACCCTTTCCGGTCATGAGTTATGCCCTCCGGTTTTCCTGATATGGTGTTCTCTTCTTTAGCTCCTCAGGGTTTCCCTCTGGGTTTCTCTCTGATCTGAATCATGTTGAGGTGCTTTGACTTGAGCTGTCTCGTGTCTTTCATCAGTCACTCTGACCGCATAGTAACAAAGGATCAACGCTTCATGCCTCCATTTCCATCGGGTGAGAACAGCAGCAGTCAGAGACATCCCCACTTCAGCTTCCTGTGCAGTTTGGATGTGCAAAGGGTGAATCAAAGGACCTGAACCTGGAAATATGGGTCGACTGTATTAAAACACGTCTGCTTGAAGCTTTCAGCTTTGCTGTCTGCTGCTCTTAAAGCAGAAGGTTTAAGAGGTGTTTTCTGTGCTGTCTGTTAGCCCGTTGCCAAGCTTGAACCTGCCTTTGAGTTCAATTTCATGAAACTTGATGAATATGGTAAAACTCTGTTGTGTTTGAATGTAATTGTTGAATTTGAGGTTTGATGCCACCTTGAATACACTTAAGTACACTTTAAATTGAGACATAGTACATATATATTGTTATACTACATAATACTTCTCTCACTTCTGAACATCATTATTTCAATTAAATGAAAAAACTCCCTTATCTCTGCAGAGCAAAAATGGTTCTTTGTTTAACAAATCGATACGCTCTATGCAACATTAATGCCTACTGTAATAATTGCACTGAACTCATCATGATAATGATGGCTACATTTTTTTAATGCTATGGGCTATATGGGCTGTAACCATGCACACCTGTTAACAACTGTTTCAAGTATTGGATTAAATATCAATTTGGAGTCTGATTTTGTATTCTTAAAGGTCAGAGCTGAAGTCATCCATTTGAATGTTTAAATAAACTAAAACCATTTTACTGTGGATATCCCAATGATTGGCTTATAAAGGAAAAATTTACAAGAATGGAAATAGGTTAAAACATCAGAAACAGAACAGTTTTGCCATGTATACTTTTGTCATTACTGTCATAATGCTCCCTTCCTCATAGTTTAATCATAGCAATGCATTTTGAAGATAACATGTTATAAGAAAGTGTTTGTTTTACTTTATAGCTCAAAACCTTTCAGGTGGATAAAAAGTAGAGGTAGATAAAAAAGGTTGCTTTATTCTGTCAAATCACATAATCATCAGACACTGCTAGTTTACCCACGTTTGTGCTGCACCGTTTACACAGAGATGATCCAGTTCTGCTTGTTTTGTCTACCCAATTTATAATACTATGTGTGCCTTTTGAAAATGTCAGACCATTAAAATCAAATTCAAAATGTGTGCTCATAAGTAGACATGACACTAATCTTCCCCTGCTGTAAGTCAGTGAGTAGGGCTTATTGTACATTAGAGTGATGTCTCCGGCCTCGTGGCCTTTCGGTGGTCACACCACCGGCCACCATCACGTTACAGCAGCGAGGAGGAATTCAGAGTCTGGGTAAAAGGGGTAAAAAACACAGGGTGGGGGTGCTGGGTGGGGGGGGGGGGCAGGAAAGGAGGAGCCTATATTGCGTAGGCGGGGGAGTTACAAAAACAAAAAGCAGAGCTTAAAAACAAAGTTTACCACAGAAGCAAAACAACACTGCCAGAAAAAAGTTGTCGGCAGGACAGAAAGAAAGAGGAGGACAAAATTGAAGAGGAAAATTGGGTCGAATCTGAGCTGTGGTTGGCTATGGGCTCGAGTCCCGCCTCCCTCCCTCCCTCCCTCCCTCCCTCCCTCTCCCTCCCTCCCGTGCTCTGTCTCCAGCCCTAACACAACAGAATCCCCCACAAGCCCGGCCACATCAGGAACGGCTGGCTACATTATAGCTGCCATTATCGTCTCTCAAGTCATAACAGCCAGAGAACACCCACCTCGACTGCAGGCCCGCTAGGAGGGGGAGGGGTGAGATCGCTGGAATGAGGGAGAGGGGTGGAGGCCGCGGGGGCAGAAGAGGGAGAAGGAGATAGTTAGAGATACAGAGCAGGGAAAAAAGGAAGAATAAGAAGACAGCAGCAGGGAATGAAGGTGAGGGTGGGGAGAAAGACGGGAACAAAATGTGTTTTCACTGCATGCAAAAAGCTGCGTGCTGACTTTCTTTCTTTTATTCTTTTTTCTTTTTTTTTTTGGTGTGTAAATGCTCTCCAAGTAATAGATTATTCAAAACACACAAACAGACATACGTTCCCATGTGAGATTAAAGGTGAAATGGGGTTAGGAGGAAAGGGTATGTCATTACATGCCGCGTTTTATATTAGCTGAGGAGGGAGAAGGAGGGTATGTGTAAGCCCCAGTTTAGAGTTACACCCGAGAGAAGAGAAGTGTAGAAGCAGATTGGAGCAGAGCTGGATCAGACCTTTTGTCTTACATGACCAGTGACCTGTGGAAATGTCTGTCCCCTCTGGAGACTTCCTCAGAGGAAGGAGGATCAGCACTTTATGGGAACGTCGCAAATGGCCAAACTGGGCAAGCCCAAACAATGTTTCTCTTTGTGTACCACAAACACCAACCATCACCTGAGAGCCCAATCTACTGGGACAGATACACTCTAAGGACTATAAGTATAGGTTATAGAGTGATGGGCTGGCTTTCCCTCAACCATTCACCGTTTTATTGGAAAGAATGGACAGAAAGTTTAGATTTAGAATGTTTAATCTTAAAATGTTATCCTGTAAACTTTAAATCAAATTAGGCTTCATTTCTCACTTCTAAACTGGTTAACCAGTGGTCCAGCACAGGAGCTTCGATTAACTCCATGTGTCAATGTTTGATTTGATTTGGGCTTTAGTTTGACAGTCATAACAGACATATTGGATATTTTTTCTCTGACACAAGTTAAAACGCTTTGCATTCAGATTGTAATGCAACAAGACTTTCCCAAAAAAGACTTTTGTTAACTCCTAGTTTGGTTCGGGAAAAATGTCTCGGTTGTGAGTTAATTTTCCCGTTGCTGAAAGACTAGTCCAATCTTGCATGACTTGGAAATATTGCACACACTTTGGCTGTCTCCATCACATTCACAAACACGTCTGGAAGAAACCGCGAGGAGGATTAACACAAAAGCGACAAACAGAAGTCTTCCTTCTCTTGAACAGATTTATGAAGCCAGTAATGTTTCACATCTCACGTTTGAACCGAGCTTAGGTAAACTGCATTTGGAAAAGGTATCTACCTCCGAGGCGTTCTGTGCTGTCATACGAGCTAGACCCATTCCAGACATAGGAGCACAAGAGCAGTGTTTGTGCATGAATTTGGTTACTGAGCGACATGATACATTTACTGCGGCAGGCGTTAACAACGCAGCCCCTGCCACAGACAAACTGAAGGCGGCTCTCCGCTCCCACCATGGTACACCCTCTAAGCCGAGTTCCCTCACACATTCATATAACGCTTGTGGGTGCAACTGATACAGATACCTGTCATCATGCTCACACTGCTCGGAAAAGTTTTGAGCTGGGGGTCCAGCGGTCATTAAATGAGTATTTTATGAGGGTATGTAAAATGTCTGGCTGGCGAGGAGGCAGCCATTCGGTATTTGGAAAGCTGAATAGTGTTCGACCCGAACAAATACATGCAGTGTTCCATAAAATAACAAAACAAATAAGGAGGGATCAGAAAAAAAAACTAATTAGGAAAAGTGTGTTTTATCACTTAAAAGTCCACTTCCCTTACCATAGTTCCTCTGTTTGAACCAGTGTCTCTCTCAGCATTTGTTTTTCTACATTGTGGTGGCTTGGTTTCTGACATTGAATGAGTAACAGCACCCTCAAAATTGAAAAGCATTTTTAATGCATTTGTGACTAATTGTAATGGTTTTGCTGCATATGTGCATCGATCAAACTGCAGCCTGGTAGCTCAAACTATCCAACAGTTGTTAGGGTACGCTCATCTAACAGCGAGGCAAATGGGTAGAAATGAATTTCCCAGCATGGATTCAATATAATTGTTTGTCTCGATGCTTTATGCTTGCTATCCGTAGTTCGAACATTGATCATCTTGAAGATTGTTTGTCCCTTGCGTTGTCGCTTGGGTCGTTGCCGTGGACGATTGAATGGGGTGGTTTTCGGGTAGAGAGAAGGTGTCCGGGCATCCTCGGTCCCTCCCCAGCTCACTGTGCCACAGCAGAGCAGGCTGGTTTGGTCACCCGTTTGATTTATGGCCTTGGTGTTTTTAAATATGCTGCTGCTCCATTCCTCTCAAACCTAGCACCACAAAATTACACCAGAGAGCAAACTCCCTCAGAGTTTCTCACAAAATACTGACCCTAAAATAGCCCGATGCCACAACACCTATATCAACACTCTTCGTGTAATCGTCCAACCATGTGTGATGGAAAGCTAGATTCATGCATGTATATGTGCACATACTGTATATTACCATTTATTACAATTTATCACAGTGTTGCATTAAACCGTACTTTCACGGGATACAGATAGACCAAAAAACCTTGATTTTAATTTAGTTGCGTTTGTAAATCTCCTCCTAAAAAAGAGAATTTTAAGAAGACAGTGTTGCTCCCATTATGTAAACATTTTTCTGTTTATGTTATGTTAGCCGTGCGCCTGGCAAATTAATGACACAACACACAGTTTAGTGTGTTCGTGAAGCTGCAGCAGTAACACTCGGAAATCTGCTCCCTCCCTCCCTCTCAGGGGAAATACTAACAAAATTCCTGCTTGTGCATGTGAAAGAGGGCTCATACATTATGCATCTTTAACCTGGGATCCACCACTATCAGGCGTGCGCACGCGAACACACCACACACACACATTCGCTTGTGCAAACACACTTGTTCAGCGCTGTTCTCACACTCGCATGCTACTGGGCTTACACTGTATTAACTCCTCCGCTGGACTGTCCCTTGGTGGTCACTGGATCATTATGCTACCCTCTGTCGCTACTGACAGGTGTGACAGTTAGAGCCTGTGTGTGCGAGTGTGTGCGCACATATCGGGCTGTCTGGGGGTCCCTCTTCTTGGTATTTATTAGTTTTGGACAGCTGAGGTACTCGGCAAGATCTCTATTTAGCACTTCCGGCTAATTATCACACACACACATCTAAGGCCAGTGCTGAATATGTGGAGTCAGTCCTGGACCGCCCACATAATTTAGCCACTTGCTAACTCCTGTACCACATCCCCCCTTTGGTGGCTTGTGGGCTTAAATAGGTCCCTGCTGCCCTTTTAACACTTGTGCTACCACATAACAGGCCTGGCAACCTGTAATGCTGAAACCAAAGAGCTTTCATCTTTAGCAGACAGAAGCTCTCCCATTTTAGGCCCGAGCACTTGTCACATAAACTAAAGCACAGCAGTGCAGGATTTTGTTTTCCAAATGCACGACAATAACGCAGCCAACAAAAGTCAAACGTCCCATGTGATCTAATCAGAATGCAGACATAGCACCATAGATGAGTTAAGATCCACATACACTAGCATACTTGAGTTAAAAGGTTAAAAATAGTCATGCAAACTTAATTCTTAATTTCATGTAAGAAAGCTTTTTTGCAACATCTACCCGTTTATATCTCGTTTAGTTTTAATTACCCTCCTGAACTGCAGTCTCAGCTATTAGTACCTGAGCTGATGGGGTTGGATATAATGAGCAGGTGCTTGTTCCCAAGATTTCTCTGCTTGAATTACCTTACACATACAATTCTGCTGAAAGACACCCTCTCAAAATGGGTTTCACACAAAAGGCTGCTTTGTTTCCCTGTCATTTTTCTCTGTTTTGCGTGCATCCTTTGAGCTATATCCTTTAAGATTTAAGGAAAAACCTAGATTTTCGACTTGAAATGAGACTTTTAATCACTAATCAAGGATGCACTTCTGTCTGAGGGGGATAACAGTTTAGGATAGTAAAATGACTGACAAGCAACCTGAATTTAAACTATTTTTTTCCTTATATGCACAATTGTTGCACATAAATAAAATAATAATAATAAATAAAATTATAAGAAAAAGTAACTTTAGCAAATAGAGTTAAGTGTCATCACAATAAAACATTCTGCATTAAAAGGTCGAAATAGATGGGAAAAATAGTTATTCCTGTTTGTAATTTAATCAGCCAAGAGGACATTTACACATTTCTCAGCATGACATGAGTGCGCATATCCTTTTCAGAATTAAGCTTCGACCAATCTTTTATAAAAAATGCTTAAACATGGTGAAGCTGAAATGTGCTCTGCCTTTTATTTTATTTTTTTGTAATATCTATTTTATGTGAAGTTTTTTTTTTTTACTGTCAGATCCTCATAAGTGACAAAATAGATCTCTTGACTGTATGGATGTTATTAACCTCTAATGTGTTTTATTGTTTCCCTTTTACTGTGTAATTTTCTACTTTTAAATTAGCAATGGATTAAAATGGTGAAATAACAGTTAAAAATAAGTATGGCTTAGGTTTCTCAGAGTTTATTTTATTCTTCAACCATTTTTCTTGGTTTGGGTTGGTCTGTTATTAACATCCCACGTTTTTTGGGGGGGGATTTTTCTTGTCCAACCACTATTGTTTGTATTTATTTGGCTTTTCTTTCTGGTAAGGTTTAGTTTTGTTTCTGTTTTGTTTGACCATGTCCTTGTGTCTCTGTGCCAGGTCCAGGCTGTGAGGGGAGCAGTGGGTCCCGGAGCTCCAATGCCAGTGGACATGCAGCCACACCAGGGGCTGTATTACTATGAGATCTCACCCAGCCAGCCCTCCAGAGGGTAAGACGACAGTTAGCACACTCTCTCTGCTCAGACACCGTCTTTGATATTCAGTGAAAAAACGCTTACTGACCGCTTAAGTTTAAAATCTTCCTTACTGCTTACTACACAGCAATAACATAGCATGAAGACACATTGCTTTATTGTTTCAGAAACATACAACTTTTTCACCACCAAATCAGATTTTTTTCATACACTGAAAACTTCTGGGCATCATCTACACTTTTGTTACCAGATATGAGGTAACAGATGTTAAAGTTAAAACTTCTACTGACAGTGTATAGAAAGTCAAAAGATCCCCTCAAGCTTTGCATTCTGCCTCACACTTGACACACCTTCTGTTTGAAGTGTGTTCGCCTCATCACAGACTTTTAAACCCAGTTTTGATGCTGTTGACTTAATAAAATCGGGAGTTCTTCCCGACGCTTTGTCCTGACGCTTTGCTTCCTGTTTTTTTGTCACCTATAAAGTTTCCCATTCTCAAAATCGGGAATTCTCTAGAGAATGTTTTCATTTAAGGTTGTTCATCAATATACATATTATTTTTCTTTTATATCCACTAAATAATCATGCTTGGATGCCCTTTTAGAGAGAACAATTGCTGTTTGATCAGTTTATTGTAAAAGCACTAAGAGTTGTCCCTCTGTGAGGCACTTCCCTCGACACCAGTAAAAGCAGATTACTGAGGCTGCTGATGGAAGAGGTGGCAGCTCTCCTGGGCATCAGAAATCTGCCCTGACATTTGCCTCAATAGAAAGTAATTTCACATTTCTCTTGATGTCATGGCTCGGTTTTCCCTCTGACGTATATAGTCGGCAATAAGTCCTTCTGGAGACAGGTGTGTGCTATTTCTTATCATATCCAGGGAGTCCTTTTGGGGCACAGGTGGTCCTCAGTTAAGGTGTAAAGGCATTTCTAGGATTCCTTTTATTTAAGTCAATTTGCAAAAAACGCTTCAAATGCTTCCCTTTTCCTCGTCGTAGTGAAGTCGTGTAGGTACACTGATTGATCTAAAATAAATTTAAAGGCAGAAAAGGTTTGTTTGTTTGCAAGCTTTTCCATATGCCAAAATTGCCATCACTTTTCTCTCATCTCACTCTCAAAAACACAGCAAATAAAGCCAAAGCATCCTCTTCTTTAATTTGGGTTGCTTCTCTGAACTTGCCACAAATGAGCAAATACAGAGAGATCTGGTTTCCGAGCTCTTTTTGCCATTCATTCTTATTTGTAAACACCCAGAAAAACGGAGCGGCGCCTTTCAAGAAAGCTAAAACTTCCTTGAAAGGCCAAGCGGCTCTTAAACAGAACCTATTTTAATCGCTGAAATCCCGAGGATGCAGAAAGCCCAGGTCTGCGTGCAATTGTTGTGGACTCACTGCTAGCTCAGTCCGTCACTCCTCCTCCACCTACCCTCCCTCCCTCCCTCACTCCCTCCCTCCCTCCCTCCCTTCTTCATGCCACCCAGGTTGCGGGTGGACTCGGCCTCTCTCTGACAGCTGCTAATTACAGGCTGACCAGGCCCCACTGCGCTCTGCATGACTGCCTCGCGCCCCACTCAGGTTACCCAGAATGAGGGAGAAGCAGGGAGAGTTGGAGAGAAAGGTGGCTGAGCTGGACAGAGGAGCGGGAGGAGGGGGGGGGAAGGGGGGTCAGAGGACGAGGAGACAGAAAGAAGAGAGAGGGAGAAGAAATAGGGGTGAATGGTAGAAGGGAGAATGGGAGGGGAAAGTAGAGCGGCATTAAGGATTAGAGAGGACAGATTAAGCTCCTGTGTGGAATACATGTTGGAGAGAAAGAATTAAAAAAATGAAAGGGATGGTTTAGGAGAAAGCAGACGGATGATGTCTGTCTCATCCAGAAGAGGAGCAACAGAGACAGGGAGACTTCCAGAGAGATTTAAAGCCAGAGGGAAGAAGCTTGGGAGCATCTATTAAAATTCATGAGAGGACTGGAAAGTTCCAAGCTTCATTTTTCTTGTCTGGTAGGGGAAAACCCAGCTGAGTAACTTTCCATACTTTTGACCAAGATAATGGGGAAGCACCATCTAGTGGTTGGAGGGAGACATCACAACAGATAAGAAGAGTGTTGACTTTTCTTTCAGGCACACAACACTTTAATAAACATTTGTATTTATGCTTAACATTATCAGGTCAAATATAGAGAAACTTTGCATTTAATTTTTAATGATCTTTCTTATCTGTGTTTAAAGTTTTTTTTACAAACTTGTCTTACATTGAGAAACCTTTTATTGTTATTTACCTACAAACCTTAAATATTCATTCGAGCCATGTTTAAGCCTGAGTAATTACAGGTGATTGCATCATGTGATGCTTTCTGTCTCTCTAACACCCATATGTGCTTCCAATTTAACTTTTGTTACATCAAGAAAGAGATCCAGTGATTTTAAAATGAGATTAGTTCTTAAAAGGAATGTTCAATGATGCAACAAGACCTGTCAGATGAGGAAAAACTGACCGTCACGGCCCATTTATTTTTTGTATCATCGTAACTATATTCATTTATCATCTCTGTACTTCTCTGATATTTTCAGCCTTGTCCCATCAGACCAGTCACCCTACAGCGATGTGTCTTCAATGCGGGCTCCTCTCCTCGACGGTCCTCCCCAGGATTGCCACGCCATGTATAATCCCATGACTCATGGATCAGGACCAGGGCAGGGAAATGGCCACTGCTTAGATCAATATATGAGGCCCACACAGGCCGCTCCACCACATAGTATGATGGGCCACAGGGGCATGCCGCCCACAGAGGGTGAGTCAGAGGATCTTTTACTTCCTCTAATCTGACAGATGCTATCAATTAGGAATTAAAGATACCTGAGAGACTGAAAAAAAGTCAACAAATTTCCAAAAAAGGAATGATCAGAAGTAAAACGCTGGTCAGTTTTATGGGCGAGGCACATAGCTTTCCAGTAGCTTTATGGAACAGCCGAATAGATATAACTTAAGTTGAAAATATTAATGAAATACAGTACAACTTCTGATATTATACAGATCATAGGATAAGACAAATCTTAGTTATTCTTAAATCTTGGCTTGTGTTCAATTTATATGCAGCTATGTGAAAAAAAAAGCACATCCTCTGTCAGTTCAAAGTATTCATGTCTCTTGATGTAATAAAAGAAGAACAATACTAGAACAAACTACTACTTGCTGAAATTGGGAAAATATAAACTCAGATTAACAAGAAAAACTATATAATTCAACTGTGCCATTATTTGTTTCACGACAATTTAAAAACTTACACTCCTACTGGTTCTGTTGGAATTCAGCCCAAATCATGACTTTATGAACCGTTAAATTTCATAAGAGAAACACTAAAACGATTTTGTGGAATTCTAATCTTGAAATTACATGACCTTTGGACGGCCAAACTCTTACTGGCTCAAACTGACTTGAACTACTGATTTTTTTTATTTTAGGCATGCATATTAATTCCAGCTTCACAAAGGCACCAAAACAGTTCCCTTCTGTAACTAACCGGATCTTGATTTTTATTTCTGTATTGTCCTGCAGGTGGCAATGGCACCCCCTACTGTAACCAGAACATGATGTCTTCGCATCATAACTTCTGCCAGGTTCAGCCTGGCTCTGATCAGATTGGATGTGGGGATGGTAAGAAGACGCACAGATTGAATTTTTGATGGTGCGATGGAGTGGGAAACTGACCTTGTCTTTTACTATTTTGTGGCCCCTGCCAGGCTCGAGGTTCTCCACGCCTCGCTCCATGCTGAAGCTGAGTAAAAAGAGAGCTCTGTCCATCTCACCTCTGTCCGATGCTAGTGTAGACCTGCAGACAGTCATCCGGACCTCTCCCAACTCCCTGGTGGCCTTTGTCAACTCTCGCTGCAACCCCAATGGTGCCAGCTCCTACGGTCATCTGTCTGTGAGCGCCATGAGGTATCATCTCATCAGTGTCATCAGAGAAATTGCTCGTAACTGTGTTAATCTCATTCAAATATTTTTTCAGGTTTTTCTTGCCTTATAGTTGATCAATTTCTTCTTTTGCTCCATAGTCCATCGTTGGGTTATTCAAACAACATAAACTGCCAGTCCAGACAACAAGGGTCCATGTATGGAGGGGGGACACCTCTAGTCGGCCACACACCAGGTCCATGCCAAGCTTCCCGTTTACCTCCGCACAATCCTCGACTCCACGCCCCACCCAAGCACGCTCACGTAAGACTCAAACTCACATGGCAGCTCAGACAAAGAACAAGACAAAGAAAATGAAGGGAAATGCAGAATGCAGGTGAAAGGGAAACTGTTTTTGTATTTTCTTGCAGCTGAAAACAGAACCAGGGCTGGGAGGAGTAATGGAGGGCATGAATGTCAAGAGCCTGGAGGAGAGATCAGAGGGAGACGTAGCCAGTCCGTCTTCCACTGGCACTCAGGTACAGTGGTGAATTAACATCAATGGTCATGTAGTCAAATACCCTCGCTAAAATGTAAAAGCATTTGTGTGTCATATGTCAAAAACAAAAGGATTCAAGAACAAGTTAAAGTCATACTCACGGTCATACTCACCTTACAGTCTGTGTTTGTGAAGCGATGGTGAGTAATTTACCATCATACCTCACAGGAATGAGATTTCTATGTAAATAATGTCAATACACATCTGGATAAGATAACATTAATGAATCAGCTTGAGCTAAGTTAAATTTCGGTTCCACGAATATGCCTCAGCAGGATCCTCTGCTGGGACTTCTGGATGGCAGAGATGATTTGGACAAGGAAGACGGGAAGCCTGAACCAGAAGCCATCTATGAGACCAACTGTCGCTGGGAGAGCTGTAACAAGGAATTTGACACACAAGACCAGCTAGTTCATGTAAGACATTTTTAAACCAGGAGGGGGTAAATTGAGAGACTCGCAGCAGGGTTTGCAAGTGCATAACAAAACTTGTTTAAACCGACTGATAGTATAGAAAGGGGAGCAAAAGATAGCCTAAACAGATTAGCCAAGTGTGTGAAAAGTTAGATTTTCCATTTGAAATGTTTGTGTATGTAGCGTATATATGTAGGGATCTATGCTCTATCCCAGGGCAAATGAAAAACTGGCCTACTGGTCATGTCCCACAATTATAACTTATAAAGTAAAGTAAGTGGCGGAAGTAGATATTGAAAAAAGAAATTGATTGTTTAAGTAAAAAATGACCTGCATGACACATGACACAATGATAAGGGAATGCAAAATGGCTCACGATAAATTAGATAATTAAACTGTGATACCAACATGCAAAACAGCTCTACGCCAATGGGCAACATCAGAACAGTTGAGATGCAGTAAACAAAATATCCACTAGAGATTTTCTCAAATGTAGAACAATGAATGCAATATATCATGTAAATATACCTTTATTGATAAGATGAAATGAATAAAGTAATAAAGACATAGAATAATGCCAAAATGACCACAGAACAGAGGTGGGAACCTTGAACCAACACAAAATGTCAACAAATTGATCCAATATAAATTGTGCATAACCCAACAAGTGCTGAGGGATTTTCTTTTTTACAAACACCAACCGTACACTGATGTTTTTGTTTTTATCTGTTCAGCATATCAACAATGAGCACATCCACGGGGAGAAGAAGGAGTTTGTGTGTCACTGGCAGGAATGCTCTCGAGAGCAGAGGCCCTTCAAAGCCCAGTACATGCTGGTGGTTCACATGCGCAGACACACAGGAGAGAAGCCACATAAGTGCACTGTGAGTGAAATGCCATCATATATTTTTTTCCCGTTAGGAAAACCTTTAATACATTTTGTAATATCTGTTAGCTTAATAAAAAGGCTTTCTATACTATCAATTTCATAGCCATGCCTATGTCTTCAATTTAGCTTGAAAGTGCTAGACACCCATGTTAGTCCCACCAACAATCCATTTAGTGACAACATTTTACACAATGAAGTCCAAATAAGGTTTCTGTTTTGTTTACTGGATTTTGGCTGCTGTAAAACTAATTTGACTGTTTTCTTTTGTAGTTTGAAGGCTGTAATAAGGCATACTCCCGCCTGGAGAATTTGAAGACCCACTTGCGATCCCACACTGGGGAGAAGCCATATGTGTGTGAACATGAAGGTTGTAACAAAGCCTTCTCTAATGCTTCGGACCGAGCTAAGCACCAGAACCGAACTCATTCCAATGAGGTACTTATGAAGCTTATGAAACTTATGAAGAATAAAAGTGAACATATAATTAGCTGTCTTTGCAAATAGCATAATTGTGAATGCTATCTATTTTTATGCTTATACAGATGAATTCCAATGGTTAATGTAGGATATGATGTAGAAATTCAATTTCTAGCAGACATTTTAGGATCCATAGAATGCAAAACACAAACCTTTTTACCAAACTGTAAGAAACCTTTTCAAAGGTGGATTTTGTCCTCAGAAAAAATCGCCACAGGGGGGCAGAGTCTTAGCAGATGAAGTGTATGTTTCTGTTCCATTCATCCACTTTCCATAACTGCTTAATCCTATTTTATGTAATGGTAGCCAGAGCCTGTAAAACAGCTATATTCACAAATTAACTTCAACTTCAAAGCCATAGTACCCTGAGAGACTTACGCATGCACAGAGTGAACACAAACTAACCACAGAAAAGCCCCAGCTTACACTCAGATGGGGAACTTTCCTGCTGCAAGGCACTGGTGCTGTCACACCTTGAAGATTCAAGCTTAAAAAAATAAAACTCTTAAGAAAATGGCTAAAAACAATAAGGGTAGTACCCACGAGATGGCCCAAAAGTCTCACATTACAAGAAACCTATTTTAGAATGGACAAAATCCCCTTAACATAACGAAGACTTTAAGCTGTGATATTGCCAAAAGAAGTTGCCGGAGATGCACAGCTTACATGTCCCTTTAGTTTGCATTTAAATGCTAAAAAAGAATGTTTCCACTGTCGCACGTAAAACCGACAATCAGATAGGATGAGGATTTTTCGAGTACTAACAGTTCCATTCCTCTTTTACAGAAACCTTACGTTTGTAAGATTCCTGGTTGCACTAAAAGATACACAGATCCAAGCTCCCTCCGTAAACACGTGAAGACTGTACACGGCCCCGAGGCTCATATCACCAAGAAACACCGTGGAGACACAGGTCCCCGACCCCCAGGCTCAGCCATGACACCTGGGGGCCCAAACACGGAACTTCTTCTGGAGAAAGAGGAGACACGGAGAGAGGATTGCAAATTGTTGGCCCCTGAGTCTAACCTGGTGAGTAAAAAAAGGCAATAACATTCATGCTATGATTAGTACTCTCGTAAAAGTCTTTGTCTTCTTCCATTCAACTCCCAGAAGTCCCAGCCAAGTCCTGGTGGGCAGTCATCCTGCAGTAGTGAACGATCTCCACTGGGGAGCACCAACAACAATGATAGTGGTGTGGAAATGAACCTAAATGCAGCGGGCAGCTTGGAGGATCTCACAGCTTTGGAAGATGGAGTTGCAGGTGGTGGAGGAGGAGGAGGGGAGCCAGGAACGATGGGGATGTCGGCGCAAGCTCTAAAGAGGCTGGAGAACCTGAAGATCGGCAAACTGAAGCAAATTCGTAGGCCTACCCCTCCCAGCCGCTGTGCAAGTAACAAGCTTCCTGCCATTCCTGGTACAAATTCTGATTAAACATAAGATTTGAATTGCTGAATGACAATAGCTGCTTTCCACTAAGCAAAATAATTGTAGTTTTTGCAGAACAAATTTGACTAATAATAATTTCAGTAACCTTTGTGAGTTTGTATTGATTCATTTTCTTTCTCAAATTCCCCTTTAAGGTTCAGGGGAGAACTTGGGAATGTGTGTGCCTTCACCACTCCTCTCAAATCGACGTGTTATGGAGTTATCCAACCATGAGCATGGAGGGGGATCTGTTGTCTGCTCAACTAATGACAGGAGAGGAAGTGGTACCAGCAGTCTAAGCTCTGCTTACACCGTGAGCCGTCGTTCCTCAATGGTGTCACCTTACCTGTCCAGCCGGCGCTCTAGTGATGTTTCACAAATGGGAGGAACGGCAAGTGGAGGATGTCACCTTTTAAGCCCAGAACAAGCTGGGGGAGACCCCCTATCCCCTGAGACCAATCGCAGAGGAGCTCCATGTCCTGGAGCAGGAGGGTTACCAGGACTTCCTAATTTAACACCTGCTCAGCAGTACAGCCTAAAGGCCAAATATGCTGCAGCCACTGGCGGGCCACCACCTACCCCTTTACCCAATATGGAGCAGCCAGGTACTCCTAATAGAAGGGGAGGTGTCCTGAGTGAGTACCAGGGGCAGCCCCTGCCTCCTTTCTTTCAACAGTGCGGCCCTCGCAGGCACAGTGCAAACACAGAATATGGAACCGGTGTCATGTACCCTCACCAGGCTCCAGGTAACAATACCAGGCGAGCCAGTGACCCAGTTCGATCAGTGGCAGACCCACAAGCTCTTCCCAAACGCTTCAATAGCCTTAATAATGTTGCCATGATGGGCCGCAGGAATGCACTGCAGCACCGTGGCTCAGACAGCAGCCTTGCCCGCCATATGTACTCCCCACGGCCACCGAGCATAACAGAGAATGTGATGATGGAAGCCATGAGTATGGAGCACCATCTCACCCCTGTTGACTCTAGAGATCGTGCTTTGATGATTAGAGAGAGAAACTTCATGGGCTACCAGCAACAGAACCCGTCTCTTGGAGGTGGAGGCCCTATTTCAAACCAACTGTCCCCAAGCCATGACTCTCTGAGCTGCCCAGAGCCGGGTTACATACCACAGCACTACCAGGGCCAGGGAGGAGAAATCGTTTCAAGGGCTAGTGCCAATCCAATGGGCCAGGCAAGGCCTAATCAGCCAGAGGGCATGTCAAATACACTTCTCCAACAGGCTGAGTACAGTATGAGTACCTGTCAGCTCAGTCCTTCAGGCCCAAACTACCCTAGTATAGGTCAGGCTGGTGACACAGCTGGCACTTGGAATGATACCCACAACCAAGTCCAAACCTCCAACCATGCTCTTCAGACCCAGCAAGCAATGCAGTATTCAGATCCAACTCTGCAAGCTCAACCGACACAGGCTAACTTCAACAATCAGACAGCTCTATACAACAGCTCTGATGGAACTCACAAACTGACTATCAAGCCTGAGCAGCAGTTCCACCCAGGGATGGGTGGTGGAAATGCCTGTCAAAGTGCTAAGCTTCATCAACAACGGATGCTCTTGCAGCAGACACAGGGTTACCCACAACAAACAGGCCAGATAATGATGAGGAACTCCAACAATCCCAGCTGTGACTTTCAAGGGCCGAACCAAAACTCTTTTCCCAGCGAAGGAGGATTGAGCTTGGGCTGTGCTGGCTCTGCTCTGTCGGAAGGCCAGAGGTCAGAAACCCCAATGATGCAGGTTAAGGAGATGATGGTGAGGAATTATGTGCAGTCCCAGCAAGCACTCATGTGGGAACAGCGACAAGAACAGCAACAAAGTGGAATAAAACCACATCCTCTTTCTGACAACATGGAGATGGGTGCTCAGGCAGCAATGATGCAACACAGTCCACAGCATCAGAATCAGAACCTTTACCCCAGCCAGACATATCCCTCCTACCCCAACCAGAATCTGGTCATGAGCCCTAACGCTCTCAACCGAGCGCCCAGCACAGTGACACCTAAAGACCAGCAACTGGCAGCTCTCCAAGGTTCATGCTATAATCAGGAGATGGTAGTCCCTCGGCCCCCTCAGGGACGGAAACCTCTCAGCCGCCAGAACAGCTTGTCACAGGTAGGAGGAGGCTACCTTAACAGCCCGCCCCACCTGAGCCCCGTCCACTCCACTTCCAGCCCTAGACGAGGGGTCAGACTTCCTCCAGTCCAGCATCCACAGCACCCTCAAAATGAAATGTTTTCTCCATCCAGCAACAACAACAACATGTATTACTCGGGTCAAATAAATATGGATATGGAGAAACACATGGAGCCCCAGAATGGGCCGTGCCTTAACCAGCAGCACAGTATGGGGCCTGGGCTGGATTCAGCAGTTGGTACAAAGTCTACCCCCATGGCTCCCTATCCAGAGTCTGGCCCTATTTCGAATGCCTTGGAAAACCTGGACTTGGACAATGCACGCATAGACTTTACTTCCATTATCGATGATGCCGATTCTTCCTCATTTAGTCCAATTAACAACCCGATTCAGGGTCAACCAGGATCATCTTCTCAGGCTTCTTCCCGCCTAACTACCCCACAGACTTCTGTCAGCCTTGCCCCAGGATCTGGCTCATCGAACATGGCTGTGGGTGACATGACATCCATGCTTACCTCACTGGCCGGGGAGAATAAGTACCTGAACACTCTGTCTTAGAGGACTCTTGGAAAACCTAACAACCGTTTAGGCAAACAATTGGACTTGCATTGGGATTGAAAACTCGCATTTTGCTGTTTCAATACATTTTCATATATCCATTGCAAGAAATTTTAATCAGGTTATGACAGAAAAGCTTTGGATTGAACTATCCATGGAATCAATCAAGATAATGTGTGGTTTTCTAACTTTAAAAACCTATAATCATATAACTTGCCTATCATCAGCTTGCCTGTATCAACCTCCCAGGACCTTTAACTCCCAAGGGACCTTTTACTTGATGTAGACTTTTGTGAAAGGGATGACTGTAATATGTTTGGGTTGAAAATCAAGTCTGAGAAACTAAAATGGTCTCCTCACAGGTTTGAAAAATGGAAAAACCTGAAAACCAAAGGTGCCTGCTCAGTCATCCCACCTTTTTATCCCCCGCTGCCTTGGTACTGCTTCTCCTTGTGCCTTTATCTAAGACACAGAACTATTGGCCTGTTGTGGGATGAGAATGTTGAACTTTTTCTGAACAAGCATTCCAGTCACAAGGGGCTTTGGCAACAGTGGAACAAAGAAGGATACATGTAAATAGGTTTGATATATTTACAGAATGTAGTGTACATGACAATGACGCATTGGATAGTTATCCCATCTTTTAATAGTCTGCTTAAATTCTGAATCTCTGTTTTCAGGTGATCGGATGTCCGTGGAATGGTTTGAAAAGATGAAAAAGTGCTTTTAGTAGTAGAGAAATTATTTCGGTGAGCAAATACATATTCTTCTGTATTGTTCATTGCTTCCTTTTCAGGAACAACACAATCTGTACAAGCAGAATGTCAGTATTTCTTCATATGCACAAATGCAGAGCAGTTAGATATTGTGTCCCTGCACATGTGCCTACACACAGACACTCAGGACTTGTTTTGAATCTTTGGCGTACACATTACCTGTATGTTATAATTGCCTTTCCAGACAGAGAGTTTGCACTCCACACGTTTACTGTAAGTCTTCCTGAAGCAGCTGTTTACTTATTTTTTCAGTTGTGTTTATACAGAATGTGCCTGCCCCTTATAAGGCACATAAAATGAGCAAAGCTCAAGTATATGTATCACCAGTTGCCTTCAAAAATATGTATAATACATTCAAACATACTGCAAGTGCTCAACATTAACCCAAACTATGTTTCCTAAGTGACTGCTGTGGACGACGGTCATTCAGGCTGTTGAATGAAACCTAACTCAGCTGGTTTGTGTGTGCTAACATGTAACTGTTACCTATGTTGCTGATAGTGAGGTACATCTTTAGTCCAGTGCTGCTGCACCTTCATTTGAATCCCAAAGAGGAGATATAGAGAAAATTTCTACAGAACTAATTCACTAAACGGGATCAAGAAGCATGAATTTGATCAATTGCTACCACTGTAGAAAAGCGCATGTCATATAGGAAGAGAAAGGTACTTGTGCAACTATTGAGCTGTGTCCCAGGAAGAAAGCTGCAGCTCTTTATAGGAGAACTCATTTTATAATGTGGCTTTGCACTGACTTCAGCACTGTGTGGGAAGGTCTCTGTCTCTTACGACAATTTACACAATCCTCATTTTGGTGACAGTAAACAAGTTACACAGTATTTTTAGTCAGTTTCTCAAGAAACCCTCTGAGCATAAGGCATTTTTCATTAATATTTAGCATAACATACTAGCATCACTTCAGAGTTTGCCAAGCATTAGCACAAATCAATGTTTCCTAATTTCTGAACAAGTGCACAACCTACCAAAGACATCTTAAAACGACTGTGGAAAAGATGCACGAATAGAGTATTATAAATCAACACTAACACTAGCAATAAATACATCAACATTGACTGTTAGTGCTATTATTTAGAATGTATGAGAAGTTTTGTACAAAATCGTTTTATATTAATGAACTTTATGTTGCCCTCTTTGTGTGTGCCTGTTTTTTTTTTGTAACTGTCATCCTTCACTCGACTTTTTTGCTGGCAAAAGAATATCACCCGTAGCAACAGAAAGCTATAATAGTAGCAATAACTATAATAGATTAAAGTGAAGTGTTATATTTTGTGTACAATTTTCTACACTTTTATACATATTGTGTTATATTTTACCATTTTATGAATAAACCTGCAGTTTGAGATGAATGCAGAATTTTCGTCATGCTCTTTCTTTCTATTTGAATGGACAGAGTTTTTGTGGATGAGGACATTTATATTTAAGCTTTGGTGATACTATTGTGGTTTTTCAGAAAGGCCCTAATTGTGTTTCTTTGTCAATACCCCTGTATTATTTCAACTCAGCATCTGGTGGATAAATGCAGTAACTGCTTTCAACCCATAGAGCGCAGTACAGCCTGTGAACACACGTACATTTCAGTTTCACCTACCACAAATTAAACTCTAATACCATTCCATGGATGCAGCATATTTCTTTGCATAGTCAGTGACTCCTGGCAGTTACATTCATGTTATATCACTTCTAATTTTGTTAAAGGTCCAAATCCAAAAGACCTTGCAGAACACGTATATATCACAACTGACCCATCCTTTTGTTTTTGTCCTTTGGATTATGTGGAAAACCCCTAATTAAGAGTAGGAATTAAACCTCACAGCAGCCTGTTATAGATTATAGAAACCTGCCAAGATTAAATGGATGAGCATTAAAAGTGGCTGCTCTCGGTGACATCAGTGCCTGGACAGACTCTCTGTGGTCAGTGGGGACTGGCACTGTGGGCTACTGAATGCAATAAGAAAGAAAAACTACACAAACCAAACTTGTAAAATACTATCAGCAACCGGTTGTGCTTGAATTGACATCATGTGAAAGCGATGGAAAAACTGAGCGTAGAAATGGGAACTTATGCAAACGCTAATAAATACTCATAAAAGTGGTTCCCAATCATTTTGGCTTTAAAATGAAGTCATGTTTAATTCTATCCTCTACGTCACGAGCTATGGTGGTGTGAACAAGTGTCAAGAGAAGTTCAACCAAAAACTACTTTTCCCTACACATTAAGGTTGGTGTAAACTCAACACCAACTCTATGAACACTTTGCAGTTACTATCAATCTAATGACCCCAAACAACACTCCTCCTTTTGGAGAAAATACCTACTGCTGCACATGTTTGAACTTTATCACCAAAATCATCAAAAGATTTGTAAAATAATTGTAAATTGTAATTAAACCACCGAAAGGGAACTGTTGGTGTACTCCAATAACATCTAAACACACTTTCGATCACTTTATTATTAGCATACATGCAACAACAAACATCGCTTACCATAGACAGAATCAACAGGTTCTTCAAATTCAGTTTGCTAATCCTGCTAATGAATATTCAACTAAACCACAGGTAAGACCCCACCATGTTATACTTTTAAGCATTAATGGACATCTGGACACCTGGAGAAGCCTGCAATGAGTTATAATGTAATAATGTTGATGCCTTTATTGTCAACTTTATATTCATATATATATTTCCTAAAATTTGTATGTTGTCTCAAGGTTTGGTGTGTTTTTGTTGTTTTTTTTTTGATAACCTCAAGACGTCAGCTTAAAAATATTGTCACTACCTTTACTTTCTACAGAGTTGGAGAGCACCGGTTCAGGGGCCCCAGAGTGCTTAGGTTGTATTGGCATTGTGGTGTTGTGGCATGGCACAGTAGACTCACGGCAGCCACTACAGCCTGGCAGGGAGGCTAAAAGCTGACTCATTTGCTCCAAGGCAAGGGGAAGTTTTCCTGACGGACTACTGATTTCCAATCTGGCATATCCACATGTGTGATTTGAAACAATTGTTCAGTTTCCACAAAAGAGACACATTAGCCATTGGGAGGATATGCTGGCAGAAGACAAAAAGGGAGGCTACATTTCACATCCTATAGCTATATGTTTAGAATACACCCATTCAGGGAAATGTCTCTGCAGAGAAGCAACAGTTACCACCTGTTTGGTGTCAATCCTTGTACATTTTCTAAAACCTACTAAATTCATAATCTGCTAGGTTTAAGAAGTTCAACTGAATAAAGGGTATATTTTTAGAACAAAACAAATGTTATTATGACTTGTGGGTTGCTGGAGTTTTTCTTACTCATTCAGATTGCTGATCTGGTGAGCACAATGTTACCGAGTAAAAGAGGGATGGTTTTGGTATTTGGGACTGATAGCTACTCCAAGGTCAAATGGAAACAAAAGAGCTTAATTTGCTAAAAATGTTTCATCAACCTATTACCACAGGGCAGAACACCACATGTGAAATATATATATATATATATAGATGGTAAATATAATGTGTATCTGTGTGTGTGTGTGTGTGTGTGTGTGTGTTTGTGAAAAACTATTTTAAGGGGTAGATTACATATTACATGGTTGTCTCTGTTACTCGCCCCTCACAGGAAATATAGTAAGGCTCAGGTTGAAAAATGACATTGCAAATGATGAAAATATGTTCCACTGACCTGAACAATGCACAGGTTGGCTTGCTCCGTTAATGTCTTTGTTTATGCTGGAACATTGTTTAATATAGTGATACAGATGTCAGATCCAAATCAAAGTTACATTTATTTATTTATTTATTTATTTATTTATTTATTTATTTATTTATTTATTTATTTATTTATGTTATTTTATTTTTTCAACCAAAGATGACATTTTGGACACAATGTCTAACACCAATACATAAAATGTCACTCATAGTGAATGCATGGATGTATGTTTGTTTAGCTATTGTATATTCTTAATTTTAAGCTTAGATGTAACTCATGCATAGGTAGTGCTGTCACCCCTCAGCAATGTGATCCCCACGTCTAGCATTACAAATGGAAATGGCAAAATAAGAACAGAGTTTTTCAAATGCAAAGAAGTGGGCAGCATAATGACTTTTCTCTTTTCTTGTCCGGCCATTCAGGAGGAGGCTTTTCTTTTCCTTTGTCACTAAGGTTGGCATATAATTAACTCCTTCTTAATATGCTGTGTAAGGGCTTTCCTCCCCATGCAAGAAGCTTTGAATCTCCAGCCCATAGGCTGGGGCAAACCGCTGTGGGACAGCTTTTACCATGGCCGTCCTGATCTGTGAGTTTCTCTAGTCATAAAAACACAGGGAAAACATATAGCACTCACAACACTGCTGCATTCATGTAGAACTGGGCAAGTGTGATGTCTGATAGAAACAGAGATACTCAATGTGGTCACAGTAGTTCTTCTGTAAAACTGCAGCAGCTTCATCCAAAGGAATAAAGGGCAACTTCAAGTACGTCTGAGAAATGAGTACTAACTTTAGATGACCGTTGTTGGTGAAAAAGAAAACTGAAATTGAACTTTGCCTGCTCTTTTTCAGAACAAGTTGAAAGTTTTAGTTTGTATGAGTCACCAATCCACTAAACATATCCGTGTATATAAATTGAGGGGGAAAAAACAGCTCCCAGGACCTCCACAGCACCTCTGCACCTCTTTGACCCTTATCTGGCGCAGAGTTTATTGCCCCTGTGTGATCCACCTCCTCTCCTCCCTCTCTGTCGTCCTGGTCACCACAAAGGCCCGGGATGACCCCTATGTCCTTCTCTTTCTCTGGCCCTCTGCTCCCTCCCAACCTTCAGGATGCTTTCTCTTCCAGAATCCATTAAGAAGACAACCCCCCAGTCATGATGGGTAAATGAGTAAATTCAGTTTATTCACTCTGTGATTCACCATCAGCTGATCATGTACAGGAAATGTGCTATTAAACCTAGGTCTTTTTCAATTAAGAAAATAATTGATTCTTCATCCATATGGTTTTTGCTGAAAATCAGAAATGGGTTAACCTAAACCAAGTGTCTTTTTTTTTAAACAATAGTTTTGAAACAGGAGAACAGGAACTAAATGTATCGCCTGTGTTTCTTTTCCTTGCTCAAGTTAAAGGCCTCAGATTAGTTGGTTAACTCCTTAAATAATGTTTGAATTGTAACTTTTTTTTAAGGGTGATCGAAACAAGCCTTTTGCTCCACTGTCTTTAACCTACTTCATTTGTGTCACAGTGTCAGATCCCTGTAAACAAACAGGGATCTGACACTGTGACACAAATTAAGACCATGGCAGCTCCCATTATGCGCCCTGAAAAGCTACCCGGGCTCGCTCTCATTTAGCAGTTTAACATGGCAGAAAGGGGGTGGTGGGGTGCGCCATAAAGCCAAGGTGGGGGTCCTGTACGCTACGTTAGAGGTTTACTTCGGATGTTTTTTTCAGTTGCAAAACAGATTACGGTCCAGGTTGCAACACAAAGGACTGTCAATGCACCACTTCCTGCAGCCATCCAGGGGTGAATGGGACGCAGGACGGGGTCCACTCCAGGGTACTCGAGTGCAGGTGCGACATACATAACAGTGAGGCCATATAGCGCAGGAGGGGAGAGGGGCGCGCGGGGGATACGCGCATACCTGTTCCCATTAACCTGCGGAGAGGGGTCTGCTTTTGAATGAAACATGTTGCGAGAAGTGCCTCGTTTGCACCTCGTCCCTGCGCACATCATGAACCCCAAAAAAACTGTGAGGGAAGAGAGAAAAAGGATGTTTTTTTCTGGCTAGTTAGTATCTGAAAAGTGATCGAGCAGATACAGTCCTCCAACTTTTTGGGACGCTCTTTTTTTATGTTTGGTTGTGTATTTCCCAATTAGCCAGTAATAACTCGAATCGTCTTTTTTTCTTTATTAGTTATGTAACCGAATTTATAAAGTTGAGTTGAAACTAATAACTGTTCGGAGGAAACGAGAGCGAGTTTTTTTTTTCTTCTTTCCTTCTGCTTCTTCTTGGGATTCCCTCACTGGAGAGGAGGCAATGTAGCGATTTCGGAATAATTGTCAAAGTGGGCCTCGCAATTGGGTTTTTACGACCGTGGCTGTGCGCGCGGAAGGTCTCGCTCGCATCATACTTTGAGGAAGGTGAAGGTTTACGATGCCAAAGCCTGACCTCAGGGCCGGCCTCTGCTGCTGACATCACCTCCTCCTCCTCGCGTCTCGTCGCCTCTGCCTGGAGTCCCATCTCGGTCTGAGTCTCCCTGCTGTGACCGAGGGCGATGCCCCAGCAGCACCATTCATTCTCAGGCAGGAGCTCAGGACGCACCGCTCCGCTCTGCTCTCATCTGCTCCCCCTGGACAACTTTCCTCCTCTAGCCCTTC